ACTGATGCTTGTGTTTCCTGGAGCCGACTGCCCCCTGCTGGTCATTAGAAAGAATGCAGGTCACAGGATCTGCTGTCTTTTATGTACAGTCTGTTGGCTCGTCCCATAGCTCATGTGACCTGGGAAGACGTCGGGATCCCGAGCTGAAGAAGGAGAGCTCAGGGGTGGACGAACAGCTTACAGAGGCACGCAAACACCTGAGTCGACCCGTCAGGTGACACACGATGAGTAGTTACACATGTTAGGAAGGTTTCCTGCCATTAATCATCTCCTCAGTGTTACTCAGCATAGAAGCTCAGGATTAATAAACTCTCACATCACTGCAGCATTAATGACAAAAGGTGTTCCTCATTATTTTCTAATATGCACACAAACAGTATCTGACGCCTGGAGAACCTCGCTGCTCACCTTTGCATTCAGGACTGCAGCGACTGCACCATGATGACATCACCATGATGACATCACCATGATGACATCACGCTGGATTACTGTGTTACATTAGGGCTGTAGCATCAAGATTTGAATGTTTTTCTTATCATGCAGAGAACCCGAATCCATCTTTGTTTAATAATATTCGATCAGGCTGATTTGTTGTATGATGAATGTGCACAAAGAACAGCCGCCAGAGGTGGACGTCTTTTTAATAAATCATGTAAACAAGCTGAATTTACTATTAAAGCTGATGTTTTCAAATGTGCTGTGCATTATTTCATGACATCATTATTATTGCTCGTGCAGCTCGTTCTGTTGATGCTCATTTTCAATAATTCCAGGAAAATGGTAAGAAACGGTTTAGTTCATGGCATATTCTATAATTCCACTTTATTATTTGGTTGTAAAAAATCATAATTTGTGAGGTGAACATGTTTGAAAAGGCTGATTATTGACCTCTGTGATGTATGGGAGGTGTAATGGCCTCAGATTTGTAAATATAGTTTGGCCAACCTATAATTTCAGATTCAAAAATAATTTTAAAAAAAGGTGTTTTTTCTGTTAAAAAACAACCCATCAAAAAATATGGTTTGTCTCTTTTTGTGAGATATTTTAGTAGCTATGTTCTGCTGGTTGGTGCAAACCTGCTAAAACTACTGCAGGAGTTTAAAAAAATACTTTTAATAAATTAAAAACTCGTGCTGAATACTCAACCAGTTTCAGGTAAAACTGAACTTATATAAACTAGAGCAACTGCCTCCATTCTTTTCACGTTAAAATTCAATTTGTTACTAAAGCAATAGATTGAAACCTTGTAAGTTCAGTAAACATTTATTGTTATTAGAAATCATTTGGTAACAGGGTGGTCTGCCTGATATCCTAATTATAATTGATTTCTTATTTACTTTGTATTTTTTATTGAATATTTCTTTGATTTTTTTTTTACCATATTTATCAAATTGTATTTGTGATCTAATATTAAATATTTGTTAATATTCATATTTATGTATTTTTTAATATTGACACTAATGTCCTTCCATACTTAGCCTTCTGTTTTGTGGGTGGAATTCGGCGAGATTCGGCGGAGCTCGGCATACTTCGGGCTAAGGTTGTGGCGGGAATCTAGCGGATTCAGCAAGCTAGCAGACTATTTTCATTCAGGTTTGTTTTTATCTAAATAAAGGAGAATTAAAACTAGAACTGCTTTTCGGATTTAGTTAAAATTGAGCCTTGTCCGCTAGTTCGCTTGAAACTAAACAGATGTTATTAGCAA